GTTAATGTAGCTTAACAAATCAAAGCAAGGCACTGAAAATGCCTAGATGAGCCGTAAAGGCTCCATAAACACAAAGGTTTGGTCCTAGCCCTCCTATTGGTTTCTAATAAGATTATACATGCAAGCCTCCGCGCCCCGGTGAAAGTGCCCTCTAAATCTCATACAACTGATTAAAAGGAGCAGGTATCAAGCACACTAAACAAGTAGCTCACAACGCCTTGCTCAACCACACCCCCACGGGATACAGCAGTAATAAAAATTAAGCTATGAACGAAAGTTCGACTAAGCTATATTAAACATTCAGGGTTGGTAAATTTCGTGCCAGCCACCGCGGTCATACGATTAACCCAAATCAATAGGTCCTCGGCGTAAAAAGTGTCAAAGATTTAATTAACACTAAAGTTAAAAACTAACCAAGCTGTAAAAAGCTACCGTTAATATAAAATAAACTACGAAAGTGACTTTACCAACTCCGACTACACGATAGCTAAGACCCAAACTGGGATTAGATACCCCACTATGCTTAGCCCTAAACACAAATAATTAATATAACAAAATTATTCGCCAGAGAACTACTAGCAACAGCTTAAAACTCAAAGGACTTGGCGGTGCTTCACACCCCTCTAGAGGAGCCTGTTCTATAATCGATAAACCCCGATAAACCTCACCACTCCTTGCTAATTCAGTCTATATACCGCCATCTTCAGCAAACCCTTAAAAGGAATAAAAGTAAGCATAATAATCACTACATAAAAAAGTTAGGTCAAGGTGTAACCTATGGAGCGGGAAGAAATGGGCTACATTTTCTAAACAAGAACAACCATACACGAAAGTTTTTATGAAACTAACAAACTAAAGGTGGATTTAGCAGTAAATTAAGAATAGAGAGCTTAATTGAATCGGGCCATGAAGCACGCACACACCGCCCGTCACCCTCCTCAAATAAACACTCTAAATTAAATAAAACATACACAAAACACAAGAGGAGACAAGTCGTAACAAGGTAAGCATACTGGAAAGTGTGCTTGGATAAACCAAAGTGTAGCTTAAATAAAGCATCTGGCTTACACCCAGAAGATTTCACATCCAATGACCACTTTGAACTAAAGCTAGCCCAAACAATAAACAACCAAACTATAAAGTAAAAATCAAACAAAACATTTAGTCACACACTAAAGTATAGGAGATAGAAATTTTAATCGGAGCTATAGAGATAGTACCGCAAGGGAAAGATGAAAGAAAATTCAAAGTAAAAAACAGCAAAGATTACCCCTTCTACCTTTTGCATAATGAGTTAGCCAGAACAACTTAACAAAGAGAACTTAAGCTAAGCCTCCCGAAACCAGACGAGCTACCTATGAACAATCCCCTGGGACGAACTCATCTATGTGGCAAAATAGTGAGAAGATTCATAAGTAGAGGTGAAAGGCCTAACGAGCCTGGTGATAGCTGGTTACCCAGAATAGAATTTCAGTTCAACTTTAAACTTACCTAAAACCCCAAAAAATTTTAATGTAAGTTTAAAATATAATCTAAAAAGGTACAGCTTTTTAGATCAAGGATACAACCTTACTTAGAGAGTAAATACAAACATAAACCATAGTAGGCCTAAAAGCAGCCATCAATTAAGAAAGCGTTAAAGCTCAACAATCCAATCAACATAATACCAGAAACTCAAAACTAACTCCTAATGTAATACTGGGTCAATCTATCCAATTATAGAAGAGACAATGCTAACATGAGTAACAAGAAACTTTTTCTCCTTGCATAAACTTATAACCGGAACGAATACCCACTGATAGTTAACAACAAGATAAAACCAACCAAACAATCAACACACCTATCAAACCAATTGTTAAACCGACACAGGAATGCAATCAAGGAAAGATTAAAAGAAGTAAAAGGAACTCGGCAAACACAAACCCCGCCTGTTTACCAAAAACATCACCTCCAGCATTACTAGTATTGGAGGCACTGCCTGCCCAGTGACATAAGTTAAACGGCCGCGGTATCCTGACCGTGCAAAGGTAGCATAATCATTTGTTCTGTAAATTAGGACTTGTATGAATGGCCACACGAGGGTTTAACTGTCTCTTACTTCCAATCAGTGAAATTGACCTTCCCGTGAAGAGGCGGGAATAAAATAATAAGACGAGAAGACCCTATGGAGCTTTAATTAACTAATCCAGTAGAACACAACTAACCAACCAACAGGAAATTAAAACAACTCTACAATGGATTAACAATTTGGGTTGGGGTGACCTCGGAGAATAAAACAACCTCCGAGTGATATAAACCTAGACTAACCAGTCAAAGTACCACATCATTAATTGATCCAAAAAATTTTGATCAACGGAACAAGTTACCCTAGGGATAACAGCGCAATCCTATTTAAGAGTCCATATCGACAATAGGGTTTACGACCTCGATGTTGGATCAGGACATCCTAATGGTGCAGCAGCTATTAAGGGTTCGTTTGTTCAACGATTAAAGTCCTACGTGATCTGAGTTCAGACCGGAGTAATCCAGGTCGGTTTCTATCTATTAACCAGTTCCTCCCAGTACGAAAGGACAAGAGAAACAAGGCCCACCCTAATAGAGCGCCTTAAGACCAATAGATGATATAATCTTAATCTAATCAGTCCAACTCCTCTATAAATCCAAGAAACAGGACTCGTTAGGGTGGCAGGGCCCGGTAACTGCATAAAACTTAAACCTTTATTTCCAGAGGTTCAACTCCTCTCCCTAACAACATGTTTATAATCAACATTGCATCACTAATTATCCCAATCCTCCTTGCCGTAGCTTTCCTAACATTAGTAGAACGAAAAGTACTAGGCTACATACAACTCCGAAAAGGACCCAACATCGTAGGACCCTACGGACTCCTTCAACCTATCGCAGACGCTGTAAAACTATTTACCAAAGAACCTTTACGACCACTAACATCCTCTACATCTATATTTATTATAGCCCCCATTCTAGCCCTAACCCTAGCCCTAACAATATGAATCCCCTTACCCATACCATACCCCCTCATCAACATAAACCTAGGAGTACTATTTATGCTAGCAATATCAAGCCTAGCCGTCTACTCAATCCTATGATCCGGATGAGCTTCAAACTCCAAATACGCCCTAATCGGAGCCCTACGAGCCGTAGCCCAAACAATCTCATACGAAGTTACCCTAGCCATCATCTTACTATCAGTACTACTAATAAACGGATCTTTCACCCTATCAACACTAATCACCACTCAAGAACATCTATGACTAATTTTCCCTGCATGACCACTAGCCATAATATGATTCATCTCCACCCTAGCAGAAACCAACCGTGCCCCATTTGACCTAACAGAAGGAGAATCAGAACTCGTCTCAGGATTCAACGTAGAATACGCAGCAGGCCCATTCGCCATGTTTTTCCTAGCAGAATACGCCAACATCATTATAATAAATATTTTCACAACCCTCCTATTCTTTGGAGCATTCCACGCTCCATACATACCTGAACTCTACACCATTAACTTCACCATAAAAACCCTAATACTAACAATCCTATTCCTATGAATCCGAGCATCATACCCACGATTTCGATACGACCAACTAATACACCTCCTATGAAAAAATTTCCTACCCCTTACACTAGCCCTATGCATATGACACGTAACACTACCCATTATTTCAGCAAGCATTCCTCCCCAAACATAAGAAATATGTCTGACAAAAGAATTACTTTGATAGAGTAAATAATAGAGGTTAAAATCCTCTTATTTCTAGAATAATAGGAGTCGAACCTAGTCCTAAGAGTTCAAAAGTCTTCGTGCTACCCACATACACCATATTCTAAAGTAAGGTCAGCTAAATAAGCTATCGGGCCCATACCCCGAAAATGTTGGTTTATCCCCTTCCCGTACTAATAAAACCCTACATCCTCGTCATCATCATAACAACCGTTATATCAGGAACTATAATCGTCCTTACAAGCTCCCACTGACTATTAACTTGAATCGGCTTCGAAATAAACATACTAGCGATCATCCCAATCCTAATAAAAAACTATAACCCACGAGCCATAGAAGCATCCACAAAATACTTCCTAACACAAGCCACCGCATCAATACTCCTAATAATAGGCATCATCATCAACCTTATATTCTCAGGACAATGAACAATCTCAAAAATCCCAAATCCAATCGCATCAGGCCTAATCACCATCGCCCTAGCAATAAAACTAGGCATAGCCCCCTTCCACTTCTGAGTACCCGAAGTAACACAGGGAATCTCATTACCCTCAGGCATAATCTTACTCACATGACAAAAAATCGCGCCCTTATCCGTCCTCTACCAAATCTCACCATCCATCAACCCCAAACTAATAATTCCCATAGCAATCGCATCAGTACTAGTAGGAGGCTGAGGAGGACTTAACCAAACTCAACTCCGAAAAATCCTAGCTTACTCATCAATTGCCCACATGGGATGAATAGCCGTTATCCTTGCATACAATCCTACCCTTATACTCCTAAACTTCACAATCTATATTATAATAACCCTAAGCACATTTATACTATTTATTCACAACTCATCCACAACAATATCATCACTATCACAAACATGAAACAAACTTCCACTCGTAACATCACTAATCCTGATACTAATACTATCACTAGGAGGCCTACCACCATTATCAGGATTTACACCTAAATGAATAATCATCCAAGAGTTAACAAAAAATGATATAATTATCCTACCAACATTCATAGCCATCACAGCACTCCTAAACCTATACTTCTACATACGACTATCCTACACCACAACACTAACTATATTCCCCTCAGCAAATAACATAAAAATAAAATGACAATTCGAAAGCACAAAGAAAATCATCCTTCTACCACCACTAATCATCACCTCAACCATACTACTTCCCATAACCCCAATAATATCAATCCTGGAATAGAGATTTAGGCTAAAAAGACCAAGGGCCTTCAAAGCCCTAAGTAAGTATCACCAACTTAATCTCTGCAAACTCAACTTAAGGACTGCAAGACTCTATCTTACATCAACTGAATGCAAATCAACTACTTTAATTAAGCTAAGCCCTTACTAGATTGATGGGCTTCTATCCCATGAAACTTTAGTTAACAGCTAAATACCCTAGCCAACTGGCTTCAATCTACTTCTCCCGCCGCGTAGAAAAAAAAGGCGGGAGAAGCCCCGGCAGGGTTGAAGCTGCTTCTTTGAATTTGCAATTCAACGTGACATTTCACCACAGGACTTGGTAAAAGAAGGACTTGAACCCTCATAATTAGATTTACAGTCTAATGCTTTTATCGGCCATTTTACCTATGTTCATAAACCGATGACTATTTTCCACAAACCACAAAGATATTGGTACTCTCTATCTATTATTTGGTGCATGAGCCGGTATAGTAGGTACCGCCCTCAGTCTTTTAATTCGCGCAGAACTAGGACAACCTGGTGCTTTACTAGGAGATGATCAGATTTATAACGTGATTGTCACCGCCCACGCATTCGTAATAATCTTTTTCATAGTAATACCTATCATAATCGGAGGCTTCGGAAACTGATTAGTACCCCTAATAATCGGCGCTCCTGACATAGCATTCCCCCGAATAAACAATATAAGCTTCTGACTCTTACCGCCATCTTTCCTACTACTACTGGCCTCCTCCATAGTAGAAGCAGGCGCAGGAACAGGATGAACCGTATATCCTCCCTTAGCTGGTAACCTAGCCCACGCAGGAGCATCTGTAGACCTGACGATTTTCTCCCTTCACCTAGCAGGTGTATCATCCATCCTTGGGGCTATTAATTTCATCACTACTATCATCAATATAAAACCTCCTGCAATATCTCAATATCAAATTCCCCTATTCGTGTGATCCGTACTAATCACAGCAGTACTCCTACTACTATCACTACCAGTTCTAGCAGCTGGCATTACTATACTACTTTCAGATCGAAACCTGAATACAACATTCTTTGACCCCGCTGGAGGAGGGGATCCTATTCTATATCAACACCTATTCTGATTCTTTGGACATCCTGAAGTTTACATCCTAATCCTCCCAGGATTCGGAATGATTTCACATATCGTTACCTACTACTCAGGGAAAAAAGAACCCTTTGGTTATATAGGAATAGTATGAGCAATAATATCCATCGGCTTCCTAGGTTTCATCGTATGGGCCCACCATATATTTACCGTAGGAATGGATGTTGATACACGAGCATACTTCACTTCAGCCACTATAATCATTGCAATCCCAACAGGAGTAAAAGTATTTAGCTGACTAGCTACCCTACATGGAGGCAACATCAAGTGATCCCCAGCTATACTATGAGCCCTAGGGTTTATTTTCCTATTCACAGTAGGGGGTCTTACGGGCATCGTACTAGCAAACTCGTCACTGGACATCGTACTCCACGACACATACTATGTAGTAGCACACTTCCACTACGTCTTATCAATAGGAGCAGTCTTCGCTATCATAGGCGGATTTGTTCACTGATTCCCCCTATTCTCAGGCTTCACTCTTGACGACACTTGAGCAAAAATTCACTTTACAATTATATTTGTTGGGGTTAACATAACATTCTTCCCCCAACATTTCTTAGGCTTATCAGGAATACCTCGACGATACTCCGACTACCCAGACGCCTACACAACATGAAACACAGTGTCCTCTATAGGCTCATTTATTTCACTTACAGCAGTAATACTAATAGTATTCATGATCTGAGAAGCCTTCGCATCCAAACGAGAAGTAGCAACAGTTGAATTAACTACGACTAATATCGAATGACTGCACGGATGTCCTCCTCCCTATCACACATTTGAAGAACCTACTTATGTTGTACTAAAATAAGAAAGGAAGGAGTCGAACCCTCTGAAACTGGTTTCAAGCCAACACCATAACCCTTATGTCTTTCTCAATCAAGAGGCATTAGTAAAAATTACATAACTTTGTCAAAGTTAAATTATAGGTGAAAATCCTTTATGCCTCCATGGCGTACCCTCTCCAAATAGGTTTACAAGACGCAACTTCTCCTATTATAGAAGAACTGTTACACTTCCACGACCACACGCTAATAATCGTATTCTTAATTAGCTCGCTAGTGCTCTACATCATTTCACTCATGTTAACCACAAAACTAACCCACACAAGTACAATAGATGCGCAAGAAGTAGAAACAGTATGAACAATCCTGCCAGCTATTATCCTAATTCTAATCGCCCTGCCCTCGTTACGAATTCTCTACATAATAGATGAAATCAATAACCCCTCCTTAACTGTAAAAACTATAGGACATCAATGATACTGAAGCTACGAATACACAGACTACGAGGACCTAAACTTTGACTCATACATAATTCCTACACAAGAACTAAAACCCGGAGAACTACGACTACTAGAAGTAGACAACCGAGTAGTCCTTCCAATAGAAATAACAATTCGAATACTAATTTCATCCGAAGACGTACTCCACTCATGAGCCGTACCATCCCTAGGACTAAAAACCGATGCCATTCCAGGACGACTAAATCAAACAACTTTAATATCCATGCGACCAGGACTATACTACGGTCAATGCTCAGAAATCTGTGGTTCCAACCACAGCTTCATACCTATTGTTCTCGAATTAGTCCCACTATCTCACTTCGAAAAGTGATCTACCTCAATACTTTAATCATTAAGAAGCTATACAGCATTAACCTTTTAAGTTAAAGACTGAGAGTATATAAATCTCTCCTTAATGAAATGCCACAGTTAGACACATCAACCTGATCCATTGTAATCCTATCTATAATTTTAACCCTATTTATTATATTTCAGCTGAAAATTTCTAAGCACCACTTCCCAACAAATCCAGAGCCAAAACAAACATTGCTACCAAAAAGCAATACACCTTGAGAAGAAAAATGAACGAAAATCTATTCGCCTCTTTCACTACCCCTACAATAATAGGCCTCCCCATCGTAATCCTAATCATCTTATTCCCAAGCATCCTATTTCCCTCTCCCAATCGACTAATTAATAATCGTCTTATCTCAATCCAACAATGATTAATCCAATTAACATCGAAACAAATACTATCCATCCATAACTACAAAGGACAAACATGAGCGCTAATACTTATATCACTCATTCTATTCATTGGATCTACCAACCTACTAGGTCTCTTACCACACTCATTTACTCCTACCACTCAACTATCAATAAACCTGGGAATAGCCATCCCTCTATGAGCAGGAACGGTCATTACAGGCTTTCGACATAAAACAAAAGCATCCCTAGCTCACTTTCTACCTCAAGGAACACCCTTACTCCTTATTCCAATGTTAGTAATTATTGAAACTATCAGTTTATTCATTCAACCCATGGCCCTGGCTGTACGACTAACAGCCAATATCACTGCAGGTCACCTACTAATTCACCTAATCGGAGGAGCTACCCTTGTCCTTATAGACATTAGCACCGCTACAGCTTCAATTACTTTTACCATCCTTATTCTTCTCACCATCCTAGAATTTGCTGTAGCCCTTATTCAAGCCTATGTCTTCACACTACTAGTTAGTTTATATCTACACGACAACACTTAATGACCCACCAAACCCATGCCTACCATATAGTAAACCCCAGCCCTTGACCATTAACAGGGGCTCTTTCAGCCCTCCTTATAACGTCTGGCCTAATCATATGATTCCACTTTAACTCAATATATTTACTCCTACTAGGTCTCACAACCAATACCCTGACTATGTATCAATGATGACGAGATATTATCCGAGAAAGCACATTCCAAGGCCACCACACACCAATTGTCCAAAAGGGCCTACGATATGGCATAATCCTCTTTATTGTGTCAGAAGTATTCTTTTTCGCAGGTTTTTTCTGAGCCTTTTACCACTCCAGCCTAGCACCTACCCCTGAACTAGGAGGATGTTGACCACCCACAGGCATCATCCCTCTAAATCCCATAGAAGTTCCCCTACTAAACACTTCCGTACTTCTAGCCTCGGGAGTATCAATCACCTGGGCCCACCATAGTTTAATAGAAGGAAACCGCAAACACATGCTCCAAGCACTGTTCATTACCATCTCTCTAGGCATCTACTTCACACTCCTACAAGCCTCAGAGTACTACGAAACCCCCTTTACAATCTCCGACGGAGTATACGGCTCTACTTTCTTTATAGCAACAGGATTTCATGGACTACATGTAATTATTGGCTCCACCTTCCTAATTGTATGCTTCATACGACAATTAAAGTTTCACTTCACATCTAACCACCACTTTGGATTTGAAGCTGCCGCTTGATACTGACACTTCGTAGACGTAGTGTGACTATTCCTATACGTATCTATCTATTGATGAGGATCCTACTTCCTTAGTATAATTAGTACAGTTGACTTCCAATCAACTAGCTCTGGTTTAACCCGGAAAGAAGTAATAAACATAGTACTAGCTCTATTCACCAATACTATCCTGGCCTCTTTACTCGTACTAATCGCATTCTGACTTCCCCAGCTAAATATCTACTCAGAAAAAGCTAGCCCCTATGAATGTGGATTTGACCCCATGGGATCAGCACGCCTACCCTTTTCCATAAAATTTTTCTTAGTAGCCATTACATTCCTACTATTCGACCTAGAAATCGCCCTACTCCTACCACTCCCATGAGCATCACACACAAACAACCTTACTACCATACTTACCATGGCACTACTACTTATCTCCCTCCTAGCCGCAAGCCTAGCTTACGAATGAACCGAAAAAGGACTAGAATGAGCAGAATATGGTAATTAGTTTAATCCAAAACAAATGATTTCGACTCATTAAACTATGACTTATATCATAATTACCAAATGACTATAGTATATGCTAACATCTTCCTGGCCTTCATCACATCTCTTATAGGACTGCTCATATACCGGTCCCACCTCATATCCTCCCTACTCTGCTTAGAGGGCATAATACTATCATTATTCGTAATAATAACAGTAACAATCCTAAACAACCATTTTACACTAGCTAGTATAACTCCCATCATCCTACTTGTATTCGCTGCCTGCGAAGCAGCCCTAGGATTATCACTCCTAGTAATAGTATCCAACACATACGGAACCGACTACGTACAAAACCTAAACCTCCTGCAATGCTAAAAATTATTCTCCCCACTATAATACTTATACCCCTAACATGAATATCAAAACCCAATATAATCTGAATCAACACAACAACCTACAGCCTATTAATTAGCCTCATTAGCTTACTCTTTCTAAACCAACTCAATGATAACTGCACAAATCTATCCCTATCATTCTTCACAGACTCCTTATCAGCCCCACTACTAACACTTACAACATGACTCCTACCCCTAATACTCATAGCTAGCCAGTTCCACCTATCAAAAGAACCACTAACCCGAAAAAAACTATACATCACAATACTAATCTTATTACAATTATTCCTAATCATAACATTCACCGCCACAGAACTAATCATATTTTACATCCTATTTGAAGCGACCCTAGCACCCACCCTAATCATCATTACTCGATGAGGAAACCAAACAGAACGCCTAAACGCAGGAATATACTTTCTATTTTATACTCTAGTAGGATCCCTACCCCTACTAGTAGCCTTACTATTTATCCAAAACAACATAGGCACATTAAACTTCTTAATACTCCAACTCTGATCCCAACCCATACCAAACTCCTGATCTAATACCCTCTTATGACTAGCATGTATAATGGCATTCATAGTAAAAATACCATTATATGGACTCCACCTATGACTACCCAAAGCACATGTAGAGGCACCCATCGCTGGATCAATAGTACTTGCCGCAGTACTTCTAAAATTAGGAGGCTATGGTATAATACGAATTACAATCCTACTCAACCCATTAACGAATTCCATAGCATACCCCTTTATAATACTATCACTATGAGGAATAATCATAACGAGCTCTATCTGCTTACGCCAAACAGACCTAAAATCCCTAATCGCATACTCCTCCGTCAGCCACATAGCCCTAGTTATCGCAGCAATTCTAATTCAAACACCATGAAGTTATATAGGAGCAACAGCCTTAATAATCGCTCACGGCCTAACATCATCCATACTATTCTGCTTAGCCAACTCCAACTATGAACGTACCCATAGCCGAACCATAATCCTCGCGCGCGGACTTCAAGTACTCCTACCCCTAATAGCAGCATGATGACTACTAGCAAGCCTCACCAACCTAGCTCTACCTCCTACCATCAATCTAATCGGAGAACTATTTGTAGTAATAGCCTCATTTTCATGATCCAATATTACCATCATCCTAATAGGAACCAACATCATCATTACTGCCCTATACTCATTATATATACTAATTACCACACAACGCGGAAAATATACCCACCACATCAAAAACATCAAACCCTCATTCACACGAGAAAATGCCTTAATAGCACTTCACCTAATACCCCTACTACTATTATCACTCAACCCCAAAATCATTCTAGGACCCATTTACTGTAAATATAGTCTAAAAAAAGATATTAGATTGTGAATCTAATGACAAAAGCTCAAACCTTTTTATTTACCGAAAAAGAACGCAAGAACTGCTAACTCATGCCTCCATGTATAAAAACATGGCTTTTTCAACTTTTAAAGGATAGAAGTAATCCATTGGTCTTAGGAACCAAAAAATTGGTGCAACTCCAAATAAAAGTAATTAATCTATTCACCTCTTCTATTATCACATCACTATCTATATTAACATTTCCAGTCATCCTAACCAGCACCTCAATCTACAAAAGCAAACTCTATCCACAATACGTAAAAACTACCATCTCATACGCCTTCATAATCAGCATAATCCCTACCACAATATTTATCTACTCAGGAAAAGAAATAATCATCTCAAACTGACACTGAATAACCATCCAAACCATAAAACTCACACTAAGCTTTAAACTAGATTACTTCTCCATAATCTTTATACCTGTAGCCCTATTCGTCACATGATCTATCATAGAATTCTCAATATGATACATGCACTCAGACCCATATATCAATCGATTCTTTAAATACCTACTAATATTTCTCATCACCATAATAATCCTAGTCACCGCAAACAACCTATTCCAACTATTCATTGGATGAGAAGGAGTAGGTATCATATCATTCCTTCTCATTGGATGATGACACGGACGAACCGACGCAAACACAGCCGCCTTACAAGCAGTCCTCTACAACCGTATCGGAGACGTAGGTTTCATCATAGCTATAGCATGATTTTTAATCAACCTAAATACATGAGAATTTCAACAGATCTTCATTACCCACCACGACAACCTAAACATACCACTCATAGGCCTTCTACTAGCAGCAACCGGAAAATCAGCCCAATTTGGTCTCCACCCATGATTACCATCAGCTATAGAAGGTCCCACCCCAGTATCTGCCCTACTACATTCAAGCACTATAGTAGTAGCAGGAGTCTTCCTCCTAATCCGATTTCACCCACTAATAGAATATAACACAACAGTGCAAACAACCACCCTATGTCTAGGAGCTATCACCACCCTATTTACAGCAATCTGCGCACTCACCCAGAATGACATCAAGAAAATTATCGCATTCTCAACCTCAAGCCAACTAGGACTCATAATCGTCACAATCGGCATCAATCAACCATACCTGGCATTCCTACATATCTGCACCCACGCATTCTTCAAAGCCATGCTATTCATATGTTCCGGATCCATTATCCACAATTTAAACGATGAACAAGACATTCGAAAAATAGGAGGACTGTATAAAGTACTGCCATTCACTACCACCTCACTAATCGCAGGTAGCCTAGCACTCACAGGAATACCCTTTCTCACAGGATTCTACTCTAAAGACCTAATCATCGAAACCGCCAATACGTCGTACACCAACGCCTGAGCCCTATTAATAACCCTCGTTGCCACATCCATAACAGCCGCCTACAGTACCCGAATTCTATTCTTCGCACTTCTAGGACAACCCCGCTTCAACCCCATAATCACAACCAACGAAAACAACCCACACCTAATTAACTCCATTAAACGCCTACTACTAGGAAGCATCTTCGCAGGATACCTAATCTCCCAAAACATCACACCTACCACTATTCCACAAATAACTATACCCTATTACCTAAAACTAACAGCCCTTTCCGTGACACTTCTAGGATTCATCCTAGCACTAGAACTAAACCTTACCTCACAAAGCCTCAAACTTAAATACCCATCAAACCTATTCAAATTCTCTAATCTCCTTGGATACTTCCCCATCATCATTCACCGCTACGTACCAAAAATAAACCTCTCAGCAAGCCAAAATTTGGCCTCAACACTACTAGACACAATTTGACTAGAAAGTGCACTACCAAAATCCATCTCTTACTTCCACATAAAATCATCAACTACCATTTCTAACCAAAAAGGCCTAATCAAACTGTACTTCCTCTCTTTCATAATCACTTTAATCCTAGCCCTAACAATAATTAATTTCCACGAGTAACTTCCATAATCACCAACACTCCTGTAAGAAGAGATCAACCAGTCACAATAACCAATCAAGTACCATAACTATACAAAGCCGCAATACCCATAGCTTCCTCACTAAAGAACCCTGAATCTCCCGTATCATAAATTACCCAATCCCCTATACCATTAAACTCAAACACAAGATCAACCTCATCATCCTTTAAAATATAGCAAGCAAGCAATAACTCTGACAACAGACCTATAACAAACGCACCCAACACAGCCTTATTAGAAATCCAAACCTCAGGATACTGCTCGGTAGCCATAGCAGTAGTATAACCAAAAACAACAAGTATACCCCCCAAATAAATTAAAAAAACTATCAAACCTAAAAAAGACCCTCCAAAACTCAACACAATACCACAACCAACAGCCCCACCAACAATCAAAACAAGCCCACCATAAATAGGAGAAGGCTTAGAAGAAAAACCTACAAAACTAACTACAAAAATAACACTCAAGATAAATACAATATACGTTATCATTATTCTCACATGGAATCTAACCATGACTAATGACATGAAAAATCATCGTTGTAATTCAACTACAAGAACACTAATGACCAACATTCGAAAAACCCACCCACTAGCCAAAATCATCAACAACTCATTCATTGACCTACCCACACCATCAAATATCTCAGCATGATGAAATTTCGGATCTCTTCTCGGAATCTGCCTAATCTTACAAATTCTAACAGGCCTATTCCTAGCCATACATTACACCTCAGACACAACTACAGCCTTTTCATCAGTTACACACATCTGCCGGGACGTAAACTACGGCTGAATCATTCGATACATACACGCAAATGGAGCATCCATATTCTTCATCTGCCTATACATACACGTAGGACGAGGACTATACTACGGCTCCTACACATTCACAGAAACATGAAACATCGGCATCATTCTCCTATTTACCGTCATAGCCACAGCATTCATAGGCTATGTTCTACCATGAGGACAAATATCATTCTGAGGAGCAACCGTCATTACCAACTTACTATCAGCAATTCCCTACATCGGAACTGACTTAGTACAATGAATCTGAGGCGGATTTTCAGTTGACAAAGCAACCCTAACACGATTCTTCGCCTTCCACTTTATCCTTCCCTTCGTAGTATCAGCACTAGCAGCAGTACATCTACTATTCTTACACGAGACAGGATCCAACAACCCCTCCGGAATTCCATCTGACTCAGACAAAATCCCATTTCACCCCTACTACACAATCAAAGACATCCTAGGAGCCCTACTCCTCATTCTAACCCTAATATTACTAGTATTATTCTCACCCGACCTGCTAGGAGATCCCGACAACTATACTCCCGCTAATCCCCTAAGTACTCCACCACATATCAAACCCGAATGATATTTCCTATTTGCCTACGCAATCTTACGATCCATCCCTAACAAACTAGGAGGAGTACTAGCCCTAGCACTCTCTATCCTAATTCTTGCCATCATCCCCCTACTCCACACATCAAAACAACGAGGAATAATATTCCGACCCATCAGCCAATGCTTATTCTGACTATTAGTAGCAGACCTGCTCACACTAACATGAATCGGGGGACAACCAGTCGAACACCCCTACATCACCATCGGACAACTAGCCTCAATCCTATACTTTACAATCCTACTAGTACTAATACCCATCACTAGCATTATCGAAAACAACATCCTAAAATGAAGAGTCTTTGTAGTATAACTATTACCTTGGTCTTGTAAACCAAAAACGGAGAACATAAAATCTCCCTAAGACTCAAGGGAGAGGAAATAACCCCCACCATCAGCACCCAAAGCTGACATTCTACTTAAACTATCCCCTGACACCCATCCAGACCTCTACAATTCATATATAACATCACTTTCACTGTGCTATCACAGTATTCGCAAACCCCGGCCTATGTATATCGTGCATTGCATGCTCCCCCCCATCCTAATAGCCTATGTATATCGTGCATTAACGGTTTGCCCCATGCATATAAGCATGCACATAAAGTGGTTGATTTTACATATACAGCATATAATTGCAACACCAATTTCCGAGATTTAATCTACCTGTGGTGGATGCATTTCACCTAGTCCAAGAGCCTTGATCACCAGGCCTCGAGAAACCAGCAACCCTTGTGAAACGTGTACCTAATCCTCGCTCCGGGCCCATAACATGTGGGGGTTTCTATACTGAAACTATACCTGGCATCTGGTTCTTACTTCAGGGCCATGAAAGCTCTAGAATTCAATCCTACTAACCCTTCAAATGGGACATCTCGATGGACTTATGACTAATCAGCCCATGATCACACATAACTGTGGTGTCATGCATTTGGTATCTCTTAATTTTTAGGGGGGGGGAAACGGTATCACTCAGCTATGACCGTAAAGGTCTCGACGCAGTCAAATAACTTGTAGCTGGACTTATTTAATATCATTTACCAACATCATACAATCATGAGGCGTATTTTAATTCATGGTAGCGGGACATAGTTACGTTACGTACACGTACACACACGTACACACACGTACACACACGTGTACACACACACGTACACACACGTGTACACACACACGTACACACACGTGTACACACGCACGTACACGTACACACGTACACACGTACACACGTACACACGTACACACGTACACACGTACACACGTACACACGTACACGTACACATATACGTTGTGTTAATAGATACAAAGTTAGCTAGAACAAACCCCCCTTACCCCCCGTTAACCCCAACAAGCATTCACCGCACCTATTATTGCTCTGCCAAACCCCAAAAACAGAGCTAAGTACGTGTAACACATGATGAAGCCGGCATGTCTGAATTCAGTACAAAACCAACCAACCCAAATAACAGACTACCAAAACATCGGGCATAATACTTTAATTTTGAATCTATCTATAGATGAACATTTTTCATCTCTAATACCCCCCTATTGACTTCTTCCCCCATCGATAAAGACAAATCACCCACCACTA